TTCATCAGCACGCTCATGTCATGTTCATGCTTCGCTCCTAACAAAATTCCATCATTTCCTCTCGTGAATGGGAAGCAATGTCGTAGCCAACGAGAACCGCTCTCGCCTCTCCGTTCGATGTTTGCGATTTTTCAAGCTTTAATTAATTTGATCACATCGCAGACTGATAGTCAGTCATTATTCTGTCAATATCTGTCAGCACCTTTCTTGTCATTCCATTACGTTCCTTCCGACATTTTACCTTTGTTCCACTTTCGGTACTCACCAGTCATCATCTCACTATATTTTGTCACCACTATTCATCCAATTTTTAGGCAGCTGCAGATTGATGTCTCTCCTTTCCGTTAACAAATCCCGTCGTTAGTTTGCAAATGATTCTCCTTCTATTTTATTAACTAAGTTTGATTTCAGATGATCAGTTCGGAGGCCTCTTTGGGCGCCTCCGCTCCTCCATATTTTAGTCAACCTCAGTCTGAACCGGAATATATGGTGAGTAGTTATGTAGGGGCCAAGTCGCAGTTCAAAGTATGACGGCAGAAGTTGGATAGTAACCGCGCTGTCGCAATGGCACGTTATTTTAGAGAATAAGGTCGCGTTCACAGTCGGTCAGCCGCTCGCCTGACTGAAACGCCGACTACGAACGCGCCCTGTTCAGATCTTGACCTAAAGGTCACCTGCTACCAGGGTGAATAACGGTCGAGGATTTCCTCGACCATAGCTCTCTACCATGCGAGAGTAGTGCCGAGAGTGAACATCCGCGCGGAGAGCACAGACGGCACGCGCATGGCGAGTGTGAATGTCCGCGCGAGAGATCGTGTCTGATCGGGCAGAGAATCCTCGACGTGCCGTTGAGGAATCCTCAAGCGATATTCACCCTGCCTGCTACTATTTGCTCTTCCCAAACCTTGCATATATGTGGAGGTCTTCAGCTAGCCTTTCGATCATAAACAGCCCCACTTTGCGCGCCCTACTTGGTCACTGACTGGAGCTATAGTCATGATAGTATCAGATAGGATCATTCAGATTTAGAATTTTTCAAAAAGATTGTTCTTTCAGAACACCGTCGCATTCGCTCCATCATCATACTCGTATCAGCCGAGTGTGATGTGCTCGATGCAGACTCAAGCGCACTGCTTCGGCAGCCTACCATTTGGTCTTCCGTAATGTGCTCGATGCAGACTCAAGCGCACTGCTTCGGCAGCCTACCATTTGGTCTTCCTCCACAAATGCCCTTCTTATCAACAGGTAAACAGAAATTTCGAAATTAAATACTTTACCTCGATATTCAGACCAAGACTGCTGTACTATGTAATAGTTTATTATTACGGCAGTTATCAATCCTGGAAACACTCGAGCAAAATAGGAAAATTCAGAAGAATTTTTTTCAGTTCGGTCCCCAAACTCTCGAACTTACCCTAAATTTGTAAAGTTAAGTTTTCCGGGTTGAATGTATGCCCGTTACCAAGCTGTTGTGATTCTTGCAAACCAGGATAAACGGGGTGCGTGCAGGAGTGACAGTGGAAAAAATAGAATAGAACGCGTTGAAAACGCCCCAAATGGAGGTTCATCCTTATTTTATTCGTGTGGGCTAAGGCAGTGAGAAGAAAGGTCGCGGAAAAGAGAGGATAGGCAAGAGAGCATAACATACGAGAGAGGGCAGACACCTGCTTGCTGCAAATGGGGAAATGGAAGCGGTCGACTTTTCGGTGGCTAAACCCATCTCTTTATAATTTTTCATGTTTTTATGCAACACAATACTAGCAATTCCGCAAGTGGCATTTTGATCCTCTGCGTTTTCAATTGTCGACGAACTTTGCTTTAAAATGAGAATTCTAGAACTCAAAATGAATATACGCCTTTCGAAAGGCTCGGAGAAAGCCCCACGAAACCGGCTCAAAGGCTCAGAAATATGTATATTAACCTAAAAGAGCTTCTGCTCGGAGCATATTAACTCGTCCATGTGGATCGGTGGAAAAGAGTTGGTGTTCTCCGTTCGTTGTGCTGCTCTTATTTGTAATACAGTTCCGTGTAAAACAAATATCGGAGTTGTCTGTATCGGTCTGTACCTCTCAGTATCTCCGATGTAGTTCTGCAGTGTATCAACTTTCGACAGTCCATTTTCCTTATGGTTTTTGTTCCAGCCCACAGTACCACCACCAGCGATGCCGTTACAGTTTGATGATCGCCGGTTGGTTGCACCCACATCAATCAACCAAAGCCTTCCGATGCAATCGTCCATGATGCAAAGCTTTGCCCTACCCGCCTCCACGCCGTCCATTCCACCACCACCGCCGTTCGCATTTCCTTCGTCCGGTGTTGGTGGGAGCAATAGTGGAGGTGGAAACGCTCCGAGCAGTAGCAGCAGTAGTGGACAGCCGTTTGGTGCATCTGCAGTCGACTCATGTCAACAAATTTCACATGTGTTGCAGTGCTACCAACAGGTAATCGATAATCGATCGATTTCACCACCGTACTTACAACGTTTTTTGAAGGGTGGAGAAGATGCGGAGTTCGTGCGGAAAGCTATCGAGAGCCTTGTCAAAAAGCTGAAGGAGAAACGTGTCGAGTTGGATGCTTTAATAACAGCGATCACCTCCGCCGGGAAGCAACCCACAACTTGTGTTACCATACAAGTAAGTTAGTTTGCCTTTTCCATCCTTTTACAACGTTATTTGAGAGGCGATGACATGCACAGTCGCGGGCGTGGTGCGCGACCACAGCACGATGTCATTTATTGATTACTGGTCATGCCGCGCTGCGACTGCTCGCGTCTCGTATTGCTTACCTCAAATCCGATAGACTTCGAAGCACAATGTGTTTTTCTTAGTTTAGTGGTCCACTGCTAGTGTAAATAGTCCAAGAAAAGGAGCTGAAGCTAATTTTCAACGAAAACATTTGAAATTTCAGCGTTCGCTTGATGGTCGTCTACAAGTGGCTGGCCGAAAAGGTGTGGTAGGTTCGAATACGAATTTGTTCTTATTCACCCAATGTCGTTTCCCTTCGTGACACCTCACCTTTCTACCGTTCTCCCGTCTCATCTTCCTTCTGAATACAGGTGTTCTACTTAAGATAAAAAAACCCTATCTATGAAGACAACTTGCACGACGTTTTCCTTCTACGAAAAATTGAGGACGAAAACCGATAAGAACGCAATTTTCCAAGCATTGCTTCACACAGTAATGCAAGCTTACGCTACCGGGGCACCATTTCATCCCAACTCAGCTTTTTGATGTCCACAACCCTGCATTCTTGTGAAACATTCGCAAGGCGAACTGCGGCCAAAAACAGCAGTTAATAAACAAAAACAAGTTCTAGATTGCTTTAGGCTCTACTTCTGAGGAGTTCAGGCTAGAGTCCATACGTCTCCCGACGTGCATGTCCTCAGGTGGACGTTTCAAAAAGACCCACGATAGGTGACACTAGGACTAAGACGAGGAGAGGATAAAAACGCCAGAGCTAACACAAACTGTTCGCATTCTCCCCCAGACTCTTCTTTATCCATTCCTGAGCTATGCTTACAGTTTAGTCCCGAGCCACAGTAACTGGCTCATTCACTCGAATGCTCTCTAAACCCACCACCACCTCCCCACCCCAACGACCTAAGCGCCCTCCCCAGATTCAAACTCGATACAAGGGCAATGTCGTAATACAAGTAATTGTACTGCGCGACAAAATACGCGTCAATTAGAAGGTTCATCCATGTCACCATGCTTTCTGTGTTACCGAGCAACATGTTGCATTGGCACAGATACCAGCGTGCTCGTCTCCGACAACAAAAGCATTTCTCGTGCTGAAAACTCCCTTTTCCTTCAAGAATTTAACGCTTCTCCAACGAAACCCAGGGTTCAATGTATACTTCAACTAGCAAAATAATATAGGACCGTGAGACTGCTTGAACACCTTTGCCAGATAAATACTCAGATTGCTCCATCACCTCCTGCAGGAGTGGAATAAAGGCTCAGAAATGGCTGGCGTAAAAGCGAGTGATATTGTTAACGGCGCGCATGGTCTGACGTCAAATCAACTAACGCTTCCATCCCAACGGGTTGGTTAATCCTCAAACTACGAATTTTCAGAAAAAAAATTAATTAATGTGCTTTGGGCTGCAACTTTTTCCTCCAGAAACTATAGCTGTGGAGATGCGTTTGACTCAGGCAAGATAATAGCCGGAGATTTGGTTCCCGGACCATACGCGCGAGTAGCAGTCCCTCTTGCCTACACCGCCGTCCCTTTTCGCAATAAGAGTAGTATTGAAGCAAGTCAAAAGAGTTTATCAAAAACCTACATCAGGATCAGCCTTATAATCGGTCTGGACGGACTCACAGCTTGAGAACCCTGTGACGCATAGGTATGAGCACTATGCTACCCCGTGTCTGGCAATTTGTCGCGCGCGGCAACCGGAAAACTATCTACGGCGACACGCCGCATGCACTATTGACATACCACAGCACATCTGTTTTTTGACAACTTAGCGATCATTCGATCCTATTTGTCTAATGGGAACTCTTGTTAACTTTGAAACTGTTGATCCTGCGAGACTTAGTCAGGGAAACACATTCTGGCGCCAGTCAAAGCCAACTGCCACCAACGCTGAGTCTCAGTGCATTGAAATGCGCATTGATTTTACGCGCACAAATCAATATCCATTGTTGTGCGTGCATGGGATTGATCTCAAAAGCCAATCACTAGCCTCTTTTTCAACAGTTGTATGAAATTCAAGCAGTTTAGAAGCTCTCGATGTGCACGATACCCGCAGAACATCAAGACTTCATCTGCATCAATCCCTACCATTACGAACGCGTTGTGTCCAATGGGCTAGCACCGCCAGGTGAGTAATTTATTGCTACTAGCCGTTACTTCCTTAGAAACGCCTAATTTTCTGCTCAAAGAACTAATCGCTGTCCGTGCCAAGAACGTTTTTTCAGACTTGAAGTCACTGCGAGTCGATCCAGCACCGCCGTCGATCATTAACAAAACAGAATTTCCAGTGCAAGACTACGAAATGAGCGAAGCCGTCCCCAGCAATTCCAGTATGGTTTTTTTCTTGCATGTAGCCATACTTGAGGTTTGAGTGTTCTGCAGGAAGTCACTGCGCGACGTCGCGCATTTCAAACTTCCGCGCCGAGTCGACTATAGATTTTGTGTGTGTGGCGTACCACGTCTGCAGGGTGTCCTTCTGTCGCTAGAATTCGCGAATGTGTTGCGTGTTGCGCGAAAACCTCTAATCTCTAGGACTAAGTGGAAATTTAAGCTGGAAGTCGCGCGACGTCGCGCAGTGACTTTCTGTTACAAACCTTTGAAACTCGAGCCTATACACACAAAATAGCACTGCTACTCGCAACTATTCTTTTTCCTACAGGGTTTTAAAGTGAATCATCTTTGTACACTTACCCCTTCTCTGAAACATTTGATGTATTCAACTGATGACGGTGATCAAGAAAAACCTCTAGTCAACAAAAGCGCAGCATAGCCTAGCAGTAATTTGATGTAAATCCAATCAAAGAAAGTTAACTCCTTTCATGAGTTTGATAACAGACTCATTGCGCTACCTGGAAGCAGGCTTCGGTCAGAAGCTCACAAGCTGAACCTAATGAATCACTCAGGAACATAGCAAGGAACCAGGTACAACCAAACGAATTCCCAGGGGCAACTCAAAATACCACGCGAGCAGGATCAACCGTCCGTCGATCCAATTTCAGAGATTTAACGACCTTTTCCCTCATGAATGGGGTGGAGCTCGACACCCCCCCCCCACACCATCAGCTTTAGGAGGTCCTCAAATAAGAATCACTCACCACTCCTGCCACGATGTATAGTATTTGATTTTTTTCTCCCATTTGAAATGTCCCGACTCCGCCCACTTTTACCCGCAATATGGCCGTCGAGCGGGGAGGAGTAGCGAGGAGTAAATATGATTAAGGCCTCCCACCCCCGCTAAGAACTGGCCCTGAGCGCTAGCCGCTATCAATCAAATTGATAAAATTCTGCATGAGCCCTTCAAATCGCGTCAATATTCTACACTCGCATGTACTCAGAAGAAATAATCCTACGAGAAGTACATTCGGTGCTGTATCAAACGTTGTATTCACTCGATTGCACCTTCGCAGCAAGATCATGGCAGAACGTTCATTGCAGTTGTCAACGGAGCTGCACGGAGTGCCGTTAACGATTAATGTTCGACTCACGTGCTGAATACTCCAAAGAATAACAGTTCACTTGTTGACGGTCTCAAGAGGAGCCCATGGGGGGTATGATCGGTGGGTGGTAAAGGATTCAACTGTGAGTGACCAAAAAAAAACATTTTCATACGGACACTTCCTTAATTAAGAGAGCGCTGACAGAGGGTCAAAATTTTTTTACATCTTGAATGTATCAACAGCTAAATTCATATGTTGTTCGTAGAGCCGTGACGAGTCACCTTTTCAGCATATGGTAGATCTGCCATCACTCAAAAAAGAGGAGTGTATTTTGAAGAATAATTCTTGCTGGTCACAGTAAATATAATTTTTGGTGGAGTGCTCTGAAGTACGTGAATCATCTCCCTTTCGCTTCACGTCTCAACCAGCTAACAATTTTTTCGCCGCACTGGAAGGTGGATTAAGTTTTTCTTCTTTTTTCTTGTATCGGAGCGACACGGAACGGTTGCACTAGACTGGCATCACTTATCCGTATAGACCCGACCCCCGTATCAATTTCAAACGCTGGGACGAATTCAAGAGTTTAACCAAACTTACCAGCTCTGGAGGTTGCATTATTTGGTGAAGGACATCTATGAGAAAATGAAGGCCATCGCAAAGTGCTCTGGGTTGTTCAGTCTGACTCAGCCTCTTCGTCAGTTTATCGTGCATACGATACGGTGGAGGAGGCGCCCCTACTGGCCCATTGAGGACCCAAATAAAGAGCTACATCAGTCAGGCAATCCGTTTTGTTTCAGATTTTATCGAATGGGCGCCGTCCTGTGCTCTGTCGCAGCAAGATTCATTTTCAGGTACAAAAAAATTCATTCATGGGCTATTTAACACGCCGAACGGAGATCCTTTTAAGTGTGGGCGGAATCGCTGTGCTATTTGTTTTGTTTTGTGTACTACAAAAAGTGGTAGCGGATAAAGGATGGTTCCGCCCGCGCGCACCTACCCTATTTTGGCAGTTTGCTGTCAAAATAGGGTTTGGTAGTACGAGTGACAACGCCAGTGGCATCAGCTAAACGTTACCAAAGCGCCTGCCTGCCCGGTGGACTGCTACGAACCTTGTTCTCGCATTATTCATCTCTCATACATATTTATATTACCAGTTGGCGCCGCACGCATTGCGCGCGCAACACAGATCTGTGGCGAATTTTTGATGGTGCGACGAAAAATTTCAAATTTGGCTTGATACAATACGAATATCTGAATTCTCCGCTAAATTCTATGCGCTCTTTCTTCGTCAACCATTATCCTATTTTTCTCGGTCCTCGGCCCGGACAATAAATCTCGTGGCGAACTCCGTCTACTTCGGTGCGTGCCCTGCCGACCAATAGCATTTGGCTCCCTTCTTTTCGCCGACCTCTACCCCCTTTTTCACCGGTCTCTGGGACCTCTTGGAACCAAATTACGACACTTTTGGCAAACTCCGCCCACTTGGGTGCGTGCTCTACCCACTAATAGCATTTGACCTCCTTTCCTTCGCCACCCTCTTTTCCCAGCCTCCTGGACTTCTTGGGGCCGAGTTATGAATTTTCGTCGCAAACTCCGCCCACTTTGGTCATGTCCCGCCCACCATTGACAGCTGGCCTCCACTCCTCCACCCACCTCCATCCACCTTTTCCGCGGCCTCCGGGACTTCTTGGAGCCCAAGTTATGAATTTTCGTCGCAAACTCCGCCCACTTTGGTCAAGCCCCGCCCACCATTGATAGCTGGCCTCCACTCCTCCATACACCTCTATCCACCTTTTCCCCAGCCTCCGGGGACTTCTGGAGCCGAGTTATAAATTTTCGTCGCAAACTCCGCCCACTTTGGTCAGGCCCCGCCCACCAATGACAATTAACCTCCACTCCTCCACCCACCTCTATCCACCTTTTCCCCAGCCTCCGGAGCTTCATGGAGCCGAGTTATAAATTTTCGTCGCAAACTCCGCCCACTTTGGTCAGGCCCCGCCCACCAATGACAATTAACCTCCACTCCTCCACCCACCTCTATCCACCTTTTCCCCAGCCTCCGGAGCTTCATGGAGCCGAGTTATAAATTTTCGTCGCAAACTCCGCCCACTTTGGTCAGGCCCCGCCCACCAATGACAATTAACCTCCACTCCTCCACCCACCTCTATCCACCTTTTCCCCAGCCTCCGGAGCTTCATGGAGCCGAGTTATAAATTTTCGTCGCAAACTCCGCCCACTTTGGTCAGGCCCCGCCCACCAATGACAATTAAACCTCCACTCCTCCACCCACCTCTATCCACCTTTTCCCCAGCCTCCGGAGCTTCATGGAGCCGAGTTATAAATTTTCGTCGCAAACTCCGCCCACTTTGGTCAAGCCCCGCCCACCATTGATAGCTGGCCTCCACTCCTCCATACACCTCTATCCACCTTTTTCCGGCTCTTTAGGACTTCCCCGACCCGAATTATGAGGGCTTGTAGAAAATGCTGTACACTTCAGAGCGCGCCCCGCCCATTCTGGGCAGGCCTCCGCCCACGTCATGTATGCGGGAAACACCTTAGACATTGCTCCCTTACACCGAATTGTTTTCTGCTCTGTAGGCTTTCTCCCAACCGAGTTATGAAATTTTTCATAAAGCACTGCTTTTTTAGAGAACGCCCCGCCCACCGGGGGTGGGTCTCCCTAATTCGATGTGACTTACCAATGCACACCTTTACCCACTTTTTGGCCCAGTTTCGAGGTCGTTTTTTCACTGAAATCGAAATCTTGGTCTTTGGTACAATTCATTTCGACGCGCCACGCCCTCTGTGGGCGGGGCTCCGCTTAGCTGATGTGTGTTTTGTATTACGTGAGACCCTGCCCACCCATCCCACACTTGACCCGGTCCCTCCAGGCGGATCCCGAGGAGCTAGGGAATTTCGTGACAGACATACAGAACGACAGACAGAGGGACAGAACGACAGACAGAACGACAGACGAAGCGCTTTATAGTAAGTAGGATAGTATTCTGGAATAGTTTATGGTAATGTATTTCAGGAGGCCACTCATCCGTTCAGGGCAGTCCGGCAGCTATTCAAAACTGTAAGCATTCCTTTATATCGAAATTCCCTCACATTACCGCTACTGCTATATATATGGCTTTTCTACTCTATGAGTTTGCTGCATAAGTAACCGCCCTTTTTGAAATGCATCATTGAATGCTTAAAGCAGAAGCGCCCTGCATATAGGAAAACGAAATTTCTTCATGAACGCTAACGGCCGTGTCGACTCCTCCCTCCCCCCCCCCTCCTCGAGTGAAATGGAAAGGATGGAAGCAGGGTCAACCCTACGTTGTTACGAGTAACAACGGGGGGTCGTACTCAGTTGAGCTTGGAGGGGGGTCGTACCCTCTCGGTGGCCGACAGTGGGATTCTTGGTAATATCGGATAATAGCCAGCACGTTACGTTTTCGTAAGATGACTGATACTAGAGCATCTATAAACCACGCTTCCCTCTAAATGAGCTTTCAAATGAATCAGCGAATTAGAAGGGCGCCCGAGGCGTGGCGCGCACCAAGGCAAGGGATGTAGTGCAAGCGCATGCTCGGAGCTTTCTAGCACATCCTAATTAAACATAAAATTGGTCTTCCAAGAAGTTACGGGCAGTGAAACCTAAGAAAAAAAACTCGCGTTTTCGAGAAAATGGCTTGAAGAATACCCCTCAAAATAAAAAGTAACAACGGGACTAATTTTTGAACTACTGATCTTTCAGAACGCTTGGGTGCTCGTTAGAAAGCTTGAATCCTGTAGTTTATTATACGTGTTCAGCTTCCCAAATGAATGACTTTGAAGGAAGTTATGATCGTTTGAAGGTCAAAAAGTCGCCTTTGCACAGAAAAAAGTAACAACGTACAAAATTTTTACTAAATTGACTTCCGAAGAATTTTTACCCATGGTTGGATAGAAAATAATTTGAATTTTCCAAATCAAATCACTTCGGCGCTGAAGCTCGAATATGAAGGAAGTTATAGCCCTAGAAAGAGGAGTGTAAAAATTCTCTTGCAATTTTATTTTTTGTCTAATAACTTATTCATTCCGAAGTGTTTGAGAACAAATAAGCACTCGTTAGGAAGGAGGAGCCACATCGATCCAAAATCCACCTGAATCTTCCAAACTACCTGAAATGTAAAAAAAAAGAAAAACTCCTCGAATTTCCACACTCCCGTTCGAC